TTATTTTCAAGAATATATCTTACCATGAACTTTATCTCTATTGGTTCTCCAACTATTTTAATTTATTTTATATTATAATGAGTTTAGAGATAAAATTAATTACTTTCATAATATCAAAAGATAATTGAAATCATTTCTCATTTTTTAAAAATCGTTATGTTTTTATTGATTAACGAGTTATTTAGTATTCAATTCTCGTGTTTAGATCTTAAGTATATATTTTTGCTAGATTAATTGCCCAAGTAACTTTTCTTAAAAGTTATAATTTGATTGATTTTAATTTTATAATTAATATTAATAAATATACTTTAAGATGGGTTTATATTTTTATGAAGCATTATTTCATAACCTATACTGTATATTAAGCTTAATATGTTATTTTATTATACAGATGTATAATACATAGTAATCAATGTAAATTGCAAATGACATTCTCATTATGTTATTGTATGTCTTAATTATGTCTTGTATTTATGCAATATATTTTGTATAATTAATATTATATAAATATACATCTTATAATTGTATATTTTTCATTAATTTCACATTATTTATTTTTATTATAAATAATTTGATGGTATACTTGTTTTGTAATTTTTATAATTTAATTCAAATTTGAAGTGTTTTAAGAAATGACATAAAAACAGGAATTTAATTATTTGCGAAAATACATGCCATATATTAAAAGATAAAATTCATAGAATTCCTTTTGTGAGACACTTTGTTGCCATTAAGATGTGAAATACTATCACTGATTAAAATTACAATTTCCTTCTTATGGTAACATTCCGTACATTTCGAGAATATTCGGCAAATTCTGTCATTTAGTAAGACTTCGATGTTTTTCACTCTAATTATGATGTTTGACACACTTTTCAATTTGATACCACTTTCATCCGATATGATCATAGAGTTCATGTTTTATTGCAATTTGTTTTATGGTTTCACTAGTGTATCAGTGTCATTTTGGAAATTAAAGTTTTAAGGTATTAAAAGATTGCTAATACTTTTAGCTCAATAGAATGCAAATGCATGATTCAATTCTTTGCATATACTGTACACATTATGTAGTAAATTACTAGTAGAGTATACTAGTATGTTGTATGATACTTACTAGGTATTTACAGGGTGTACTATACAAGTAAAATATCTTTATCTATTTTATAATTTGTTATAGAATTTATAAGGAATGCTAATATTTACTTGTTTGTTGAACAATTTATGTACAGTACATCTTTTTCAGATATAAAACAAACCACATTTAATTTAAATTACCTATTTTAATAAAATATAATAAAAGGAAGTTTTCATATACTGTATATACTATATATAGCTTATACTAAATAATAACATTTTTCATTTAAACTACAAAATTGAGTTTTTCTATAAATTTTATAGAAAACATTATCTATTAGTTTAACCATAAATATTGTATTCACTTACGATCTGCTAAATCAACTTGTATTATAAAATTAATAATGAATTGTTATTTGAAATGTCCAAAAGAGATAATAAGGGTTTAAGTGGTATTAGACAATTTTCAAAGTGAAGTTAATTATACTTTGCCAAATTTCCAAATAGATTTATTTTGTTTATAAATATAAACGAAAAAATACAATTTTACCAAGACAATATAAATAGCAATCAGAACCCTAAGATTCCCTTAAGACATCGACTAAAACATGTGTTATTCATTAAAAGCCACCTGGTAGTATTATATACGGTATACTTGTCTCTTATGTAAACCCGGCTTAAACTTGGAGTTAATAAGATTTTGTCGTTGACTGCATTTAAACAAAATTGGAAAAACTCATTCAATGCTAATTCCCATTCTAGTCATTGGCATTTCCATTTACAGTACATTACAACTACTTTTACATTCATTCTTACTTTCCTTTCATATTTATCTTATTCCTTAATTCTGTTCATAATTTCAACTTAATATTAGACTTTCATTATATTTTAGGTGATATAGTATTTATATTTCATACCATTCAATATTATATCGGTTTTCATATTATTAAACACTGTTTCCATATTCTATGCAATTTTTGTTGGATATGTGGATTTCAATTAATCATAAGCTACTATCACTTGCTTATCATTAAACTGATCAAATATGTGCATAAACTATTAAATAAGAGATACATTGGTTCAGATATACCATCAAATTATTGGAAATATCATTAAATGATCAAAATATTTATCATTTGATTTATTATTTAAAGAATAGGGGTGAAATAATGTTTTCGAAAAATGTTTTAGGTTTATTTTGAAAGGTTTATAATATGTAAATTTATAAAAAACGAATTTCATTAAGAATTTCAGAAAACTTATTATAAAACCATTGTTTCATAATTTGATAACTATCTTTTAAACCAAAATAATTTTAATCTCTTTAATATATTTAAATTGTGGGCTTTCGGGAAGCAATGAATTAAATTATTAATAGTATTTATAAAAGTATTTTTATATGTGATTAGAGTTTAATGATAAAACATTCTACAACAAATAGATTGTTTTTAAAATGTTATACATTATTTAAACATTGTGAGCATTATGGACATGAAAAGCGAAATATTCATATTACCGTATACTGTGTGTAAAGAAATAATTTTTAAAACACCAGAATCTCAGGGTTACTGTTGGAAAGCCGATAATAGCTAAGATAAGTGAACGCTATATTCTGTGTGATACTTATGCAACATATTATGTATGGCCCTTAAAATATAAAGCGATGCATAACTTAGTTTTCATTTCTCAATAGAGAATTGAGAGACAAAAAAGTTTTGTTTCCAAATATTATACATTTAAATATTTTTTGCTTAAAGTAATTCTTAAAGTCTTTTGAATAATATTTTGGTAACAAAGTATTAAACTATTGATAGAAAATTTGGTTTTATTAAAATTAGAGAAATTATATAAAATATAAAATTATTTTTATATGTGATTAGAGTTTAATGATAAGACATTCTACAACAAATAGATTGTTTTGAAAATGTTATACATTATTAAAACATTGTGAGCATTATGGACATGAAAAGCGAAATATTCATATTACCATATACTGTGTGTAAAGAAATAATTTTTAAAACACCAGAATCTCAGGGTTACTGTTGGAAAGCCGATAATAGTTGAGATAAGTGAACGCTATATTCTGTGTGATACTTATGCAACATATTATGTATGGCCCTTAAAATATAAAGCGATGCATAACTTAGTTTTCATTTCTCAATAGAGAATTGAGAGACAAAAAAGTTTTGTTTGATTTAGATTGCAATGCACTTTCAGTAACAGTACGTCACTATAACAAAGGCCTTAACTTCCGGGAAGGGATGGCCGCACAGAAATGTATTATGTTGATTTATTATTTTATTTTTTAATGTCATATGGATATGGACTGGTAGACATTCGCTGTCATAATCATTTCCATGTGAACAGTTTGTGATTTAAAATAAGCAAAATTGTTATTTGCTTAAGATTCTGTGAATAATGTTTTTATTCAAAATTTAATGTGTGTTGTTATTAATATAAATAATATTTTTCCTTAAATCCAAATTAATTCACAAAATTGAAATTCAAGGCAATGAATAAAACAGGAAAACGAGTGAGACTTATAAGTGCTCTAAATATGAAATGTCATGAACTCTCTAATACTCTATTAAGTTATGAGAAAACAGATCTATGTTTTAAAATATAGTGGAAATTCATTTTTATAGATAAATTGAATAAAATTAGAGAGAATTGAAAACAAGATTCCTATTCTTGCGAACATTCTAACCGAATGTGAAAACTATGATAACTATTGAAACTCTAATTCATATTCTTGTCGATGAAATGATAGCTTAGGCCCAACAAAAGGTTGCCATATATTAGGCTGTAATTTATTTAAAGAAATTCTTTCGCAATTTAATATTTCACTCGCGTCCCCACACAATATAACACTATTTTATCATAATATATACACATTTTATCGCATATTATTGTATTATTAGATATTTTCTATTTATTCTCCAAAACAGCTTTTCCTTATGAGAGCCACACAACTGTATAAACACAACATTTGCTCCAATTTTTTATGCATTTCGTGTAAACATTAATCGATTCAAGCTATTTATAACCGTTTTATTTAAATACTTATTATTATAAGCGATAAGAGTCTAAAAGATAACTTGTGTTCAACAGATTTGAGCGCAAAATATCTAATTATGAAGAATATATCCTTTATAAAAATTTATATAAATATATATTTGCAATATTTATTGACAAGCAGTGAAAGAATGGTTAATAAGTCACGACTCGTGAGTGTTGTTAAGCCACTCGTATATTGCTCTACATATGAATTGCTTTTATCTTTTTCCTAATAAAAGTATTTCAATATAATTATAATATATTGAAAGAATGTTTTTATTAAAACGAGCTAAAGTTAAAAGAGAAAATAAGGTATACTTTTATTTTATTTCGATGATAACATCTCTATGGTAACCAAGATCTATGTCATCCTTGATATCCCATCCTATACTACAGTATTTTATTACAAATTCCCAATGATTTGAATGCAAACAATGTTATCTTTTCTACTATTCTTTATATATTCCTTACAAAACTTATGAAATTAAAGGCATTTATAGTTATTATTGAACAAACATTCTTACGCTTGAAATCTTGAACAGAAAACTTTGAATTTTATGAATAACATCCTTATTTTGTATTATTATTAATTTATAAATAAATTTAGTAAATATTGATACAATTTCTGTGGCAACTTTGTTTACTAGGACTTCAATATAGATTATATACAGTATATTCTTGCACAAATTCTTCGTGCGTTTACTTGAACTCAATTGACATTTACTTTGATCTTTAAAAATACTTAAAAAATAAAACCATTTCAATGTTTGAGCACATTTATATTATTTAATAAGTCATATTGATTACACAGAATCGGGCAATATTCCAATGCAATAATTCCAGTATATTTGTCATTATAAACAATAAACACAGTATTAGTATTGATAAGAGAAATGTATTTTTGTGTTTTAATTAATAAAATAAAGGAAAGGCAGAGGAGTGTGACGAGCGATAGGGGACAGAAGAAGCCACTGACCAGAAGTGATTCAAATATGTTTGGAGATAATACTCAACAGGGGGTAAGTGCTAGCCGTAAGTGTGCAGTGAATGGTTTATGAATAGTTTGCGGAACTGTATGTTAGGTGAGCCCCATATCATTCCAAATAACTCCAATCTCTAATCAACACCCGTTACTCGTTATGATTAACCCTAAGAGTGGTGGCCGACAGGGATTAAGGTATCTATACATATATAGTGCATATATAAATACATTTTTGTTATGTGTGTTGAATAAATGTAATTTTTTATAAAAATATATTTATGATACAAAACCTTGCCACAAACTCTATATAAACATTGGTAGAGAATTGTGATAGTAATTGAATATTCTTGATATTTGAATGCAATGCCAGAATTCTGCGGAAATTCCAATATTTACTGAATCCACGGCAAGTGTATGACATCGCGAAAGGAGGTCCCTCTCAGGGCTTACACTTCTATAAGGATGCGCCCAATTTTCGTGTGTTGTGTTGCGGTGGAGACGGAACTGTGGGATGGATTCTGGATACAATTGGTTTGTATGGGTTTTGCCCTATTTTTAGCACCAAAATTGTTATATCGTTTGACAGTTCGAGATAAATGACACGACAATTATCAATCACATATTTGTAGATAAAATGAGTTTTCCGAAATTGCCGCCAATCGCTATCCTTCCGTTGGGAACTGGCAATGATTTGGCTCGTTGTCTGCGATGGGGACCGGGATATGACAACGAGAGCCTCAATAAAATCCTCAAGAAAGTCGAGGAGTCGAGTATAGTGATGATGGATCGCTGGAAGATCGAGATCAGCAGCTCTGACAATGAAAAGGAAAAGGGAGATCCCATCCCAAGTAATATATTCAACAACTACTTCAGTATCGGAGTCGTGAGTACTCTTCCTATTCCTCTTCCTATCACTTATACTTATTCCTCATTAATCTCTATTTGCATTTAATTGTAGATCAGAAATGAGACTCAAATGAGTTTTGAGAAATAAATTTATGTGATTTTTCCGCACTTTCAGACTAATGTTAGATCCATTCAAACCATTAGAGACTTTTTCAATCCATTAATTTATTTTATGGCAATAATTGAATTCAATATAACAAATATTTAGATTACTTTACTAAATAGGAAATTACATTAAACTTTTCGCATTTTACAAAACCCTTTAATAAGTGCTAAAAGTACTTTTGAGACTAATTATGCAAATGTTTTCCAAACAATCGTTTACTAAACATTTGTTTCAAACATATATCTTATTTGCGATGAAAGGACGCGTCGATTGCCATTAAGTTTCATTTGGAGCGCGAGAAACATCCGGAGAAGTTCAACAGCCGTATGAAGAACAAGATGTGGTACTTCGAGTTCGCCACCAGTGAGACATTCTTCGCCACCTGCAAGAACCTGCACGAAGACATTGATATTATGGTAAGTCGTTTGTTTGACTCCCATTTGAGGCCTAATATAATATGACACGACGTCTGATGCGATACTAAATGCAATCCATTGGCAGTGCGACGGAACTCAACTCGACTTAAAGAATGGTCCATCACTTCAGGGCATCGCTGTGTTGAACATCCCCTCGATTTACGGCGGATCCAACCTATGGGGCGATACCTCGAGTCAAAAGAGTCGAAATAAAATACTAAACCGGAAGCGACGACGAGATAGGGAGCACTCGAGCAACAGCCTGTCCAGCATTGATCT